AAAACATAATTTTGTTGTATTATCTTGCTTGATGGGTCCATAGGTGATTTTCTATCTATAACAAAGAGACCCCCAGGTGTCTAGGTGTAGGGATCGATCGATACACCTAGAAAGTTGGTTGCTTGCAGGTTTTGAATCCATGTCTATAAGGTATAGACACATTCATATTACTAACGAGGGAAATTCCTGAGACCCCTATAGATCTAGGTTCTTCTACGATATTTGTCGGGCCTCTTCATTTATCGACGTCGATTTTCTGTCGCGCTATCCTTGGTCGGTCCTTCTTTTATAGGTTGGTACTTTGTCGATTTGTTCTTTGAAGCATTTTAGCACATATTAGATTCTATTGTTGCTGATATGGCGGTATTTATTAATTACGAGGGGCCACGTGTGGTCTCGACTGACCTTGATGGTTGATCTCGACCCGAGTGTTAGGTTACTCATCGAAACATAACTGGTCGGCCAACTTAGCGGTCTTGAACTTTGAGTACTCATGACTAGGGCTGCACACGAGTCGAGCGGCTCGCGAGCCGCTCACGAGCGCTCGAGCTCTAGTGGCTCGAGCACGAACTCGAGTCGAGCTCGAGCTCATATTTTACATTGTCGAGCGGCTCGCGAGCGGCTCGAAAAACATGGTAAATTACTAAAATACCCTTTTATATATAATTTGACAAAGTTGTTTGAAAATTTTTAAACCGAACTCGGGCCGAGGTCGAACATTTTGAATTCGAGTCTCGAGCAATTGTATTTTTTTATCGAGTTGAGCTCGAGTTAAAAAAATCGAGCTCGAGCAGCTAAAAAAAAAAAAAATTCAATCTTGCTCGATAAGGCCAATGCTCGACTCGGTGCGGCTCGTTTGCAGCCCTACTCATGACAAAAAGCAAGATAGTGACTGCCCGACTAAACAAGATGATCATTATGTTGAAGGTTTTTAGACATAAGAACAAAATATGAGAATAAATCATATGTGATATTCTTGTCAGGATCATTCTTAGGCCCCCCAACTATTTGGAAGCCGTTGTTACTCTAAGATCGACGTCTCCTACCTCTCGATGAATTAATCAATTCGTACTCTTGTCAATGGTGGGCTAATATAGAGGTTGAGAAAATGTCTTGTATTAAATATTACTTGAATAGAAATTCACAATCTACTCAAACCTAACCTAATAAAATTTTTTAAAATTAAATCTGGTTATCTAACAAACACAATTAAAACTATAATAACTTATATACGATCATCCCTAAGTAACTCATTATATATGTTGTAAAAATGATATAAAGAAATAAGAATAACAAAATAAATTAGAGAAAAAGTATTTTCCATGAAAAAAGTGTATTGCATAAGTGAATAAATTTATCAAAAATAAATTTTAATTATCAAATGTACAATCTTTCACACATTTAGAATTCTTGTAAAAGAAGATATTTTTGATGAGTTAAACTTTGATCAATTATATATCAATATGCTAAGTATGAATTGTTATAGTATTATAAAAAATAATACAGTGGATAATTTTATAAGCATATGTAAATAGTTTGTACAAAAACATCATATTTAAAATCTTAATAATTTATAATAATTCATTGTAATAATTTAAAACTACAAAGAATAAAATTCTTGTATAATAAAAAATTAAGTACGAACTATTAAAGAATAAATAAAAAAAGAAAGCGAAAACAATAAAAAATATTTGAGTAAAGTTTACGTTATTTATTTGATATACTACTGTGTCGAATAGATTCATTTGCTTAAATATTTTAAAATTGTTTGAATAATAACTTTTTTTTATAAACTTAAAAATTTCCATTAAATAACAAACACACTACCAACTCCCAAGGCCTAATTCACAAACCAAAAGCGCGGGATACCGAAATAATAACACTGATGATGCCAAAATCTGCCCAGCACTCGTTGATCCTACGTGGCGATATCTCATTGGTTACTCAACACATAACGCGGATCGCAAAACCTACGCTCCCCAATCTCACCGTCCAAACCGAATCAACGGCTCCCATTCAACCCCCAAAAAGTTCAAACCATCCCCAAAAATCCCCATTTTCCCGCTCTCATCTTCTCTATATAACAAACCCCACTATCGAACGCATCTCTCACCACACACACAAATTCTATACATTCAATCTCCAATATCTACATATCTCCCTCTCCGGCGACTCTCCGACCAATCTACGATGGCCCGCACCAAGCAGACTGCCCGCAAATCCACTGGCGGCAAGGCCCCCAGGAAGCAGCTCGCCACCAAGGCCGCCAGGAAGTCTGCCCCCGCCACCGGCGGCGTGAAGAAGCCCCACCGCTTCCGTCCGGGAACTGTCGCCCTCAGGGAGATCCGAAAGTACCAGAAGTCCACAGAGCTCCTCATCCGCAAGCTCCCCTTCCAGAGGCTGGTGCGCGAGATTGCGCAGGACTTCAAGACTGATCTCAGGTTCCAGAGCTCTGCCGTGGCGGCGCTGCAGGAGGCGGCGGAGGCCTACCTGGTCGGGCTCTTCGAGGACACCAACCTCTGTGCGATCCACGCCAAGAGGGTGACCATCATGCCCAAGGATATCCAGCTTGCGAGGAGGATTAGGGGTGAGCGTGCTTAGGTTTAGCTGCTTGTGCTGAGTTGACTCGGTCTCGTTTTGGGGTTCTGATGTTGGATCTGTAGTAGGGGTTGTTTTGTATATCGGTTGTTATCTGGTGTTTTCAGTATGTGAACGTCTTTTGTAGCTTGTTTGGCAAATTTTAATATCTAATGAAATCTGAATTTCTTATTTCTCAATGTTCTTTTGGCTTGAAGTTTGATGTTGAATTTCTGCTTAATTAAACTCCAATTGGTTATTGATTTCCCCCTTTTCAACATATGTGGAAGTGAACATAGTTTCCTTTGTTCTTGCGATGATAATATGTAATAAGTTGGGAACACGATGTCTGTAATTTGTAATAAATTGAAGGTTTTCCTATCTGTATGGATCAAAGCTTCTTATTACATATTATCATCGCAAGAACAAGTTTATATCAATACATAGCAAAACAAGTTTAATTTCACATAAAGGAAAGTCATGCACAATATGAGTTTTTGACAGGTCCATTAATGGAGTGTGGCTTGTGTGTTACAGAGTTAGGTCAGAAACACAAAAGAGCAAGCAACACCAAGCCGATATAAGCCTATATATACACTTATACAAACATATATGTGATAAAAAGAAAAAAAAAAAAGAAAACATTAAACACACTCAATATATCTTGCTCACATTATTAATCCAAACTATGAAGGGCTCTAACTCGAAAACCCTCCCCTTTTTTATGATTCTTGTGCTTGTGATTGCTAGTTTTGTGCAGGAAAGCACGGCTCATCCATGTGGGAGCACGTTTTTCTCGGCACTCGTCCAGCTCATACCTTGCCGGGCAGCTGTGGCTCCTTTCAGCCCGAGTCCTCCAACTGAGTCTTGCTGTGACTCGGTCAAGGCTCTCGGGCAGCCTTGTCTTTGTGTGCTTGTTAATGGGCCCCCGATTTCTGGCGTTGATCGAGACATGGCTATGCAGCTGCCTGAGAAGTGCACTGCAAACTTTGAACCATGTAAAAGATATATATAAATAAAATCAGATTCAATCTGTTTGCTTTATGTTG